TCCTCCCGACGGGCCGCCGTGTGTGCTCCTGGCGTGTCACACGCCCTCGGGTCGTTGTGAGGCTGAGGCTCCCTTCCTCTGTGTCCCGCCGCCCGGCCAGGACACGTTGTCCACTTTCATCGTCCGATCTCCTTGACGGTTTCTGAGGCGATCCCGTGTTGCACGCTCTTTCAGATGTGCTAGTGAAGGAGTCCAAGTGGACCAAGATGTTCTTCGGCGAAGGCCAGGCCTCCCTGTCGTTCAGCCACCTGAACAAGGACGACGAGGGACTGTACACCTTGAGGATTGTGTCCAGAGGGGGCATCAGCGAGCACAGCGCCTTCCTGTTTGTCTGCGGTACGTGGAGCCTCCAGGGGCGAGGGGGGCACAGTCAGGGCGTGAGCGCGGGAGGCTGGGACCTCACAGGGGCTAGGCCGGAGCAGGTGCGTGTGTGGGGTCACTCACTCTGCTCCTCGGAGCCTCCTGACGTGACGCGAGCGTTCCCTGTCCTGCGTGTCAGCTCCTGTCCTGACAACGAGTCCCTGACTACACTTGGGAACAGATCAGAGTCTCTGTTTTTGTCTCTCTGTTGATAAATCGATAGAATCTATGAGACGGCTTTCCAGCATGAATACGCCTGTGTTACTAATTCTCGAGAGCGTTGCAGAGCTGAGGGGGCCCCGGAGTAGGGGGCTCCAGGGGGGCGCCCCTCATTGCCTCTGGGCGCACTCACGAGGACAGGCCGGGAGGGGAGGGCTGCTGTTATCACCACTGCCTCCAGCGAGTGTGTGGGTAGGACGCCCGCGTGGCATTGGCACCTGCAAAGAGCTTGACGTCCAGCAGTCTGCGCGCTGTCCCCTTTCTTCCTGACGTGGTCCTGCCGGGGGCTTCCTGACTCCCAGTTCATGGAATTGAGGACAGAGTCATGGCATACCAGCCACGGGGTCACACGTTCTGTACATGATCTATGAATCCCTATCACACGTGGGCACGGAGGTGTGTGTATGTGTATGTGCACGTTTATACGTGGACGTGTCATATGCGTACACATCGTATATCTATCCTGTACAAAACGGACACACGGACACATGAAATGGATAAAATTATGTATATCATACGTATGCAGTGTATGTGTGTGGCTGTGTATGTGTGCACACAGGTGTGCATGTGCACGTCCACGCACACACATCCACACGTATGTGTATATACCCTACAATTCTTAGGCCCATTTTGTAAGCAAGGGCTGTTACTCTCGGTTTCCCAAATGCAAATGTGGAGGCTCAGAGGCCTGGGGGACTTCTCCAGGCTGGAGGGGCAGGGGGTCAGGTGCCTGGACCCTCAGCTGGAGCCTTCCCTTGGACACTCAACAGCCCCCGGGCTTTTCTCTTCACCTGGCAGAGCCCTTTTCCCTGTATCTACTCCCAGACCCCTGTGGCCTCCAGCTTGGAGGCCCTCCTCCGCAGGGCCCAGCTGAGCCCCGCCGAAGATCCCGGAACACTTCCGCTCTAGTTGCCCGGTGCTGCTGTCCTGAGCCCCTCCGTTCGGACGGGCTGCCCAGCCTGACCTGCACTCGGTGTTCCGGGCACCTCTGTGCCTACTGCCAGCTCTGGTTATATGTGCCTGGGATGGTCCCATCAGCATACTCTGTTTTCCACTGGAGCTGTCAGAGCGCAAGAAAGGGCTGTGTCATCAGGGAGTATTATAACTTAAAAAAAAAAAAGGAATAAATGTAAAACAAATACCCTCCCCCTCCCCACTCCCACAAGATGGCATAAACCTGCAGGGCCGGGGTTTTAGGCCCTTCCGTGAAGTTTTACCATTTTTATTAGGTTGGCATTAAAGTGTCCCTCCTGTTCTCCTGTACGCCTTCTGGTAAGATGTCTCGCCCCATAAAAATGCAATAAATACAGCATAGCCGAAATCGCCTTGCTTATTCAGCACCACCAGCAGGAGGAAAATGATGCACGTAGGGGGGAGTTTTACTGTTCTGATTATTTTCTGAGGATTTTGAATGGGAGAGAAAATATTTGGCTCAATGTCACGAAATGCTTAGCTTTTAATATGCCTCGAACAGGAGAGTGTGGCCATCATGGTTACGGAATAAATACAGATTGTAGATAAGGAAATTCAATGTTTGGCGTATCCACTTTCTGAATAGCTCTGCTGGCCTCAGTGCTCCTGTAATTAAAACCTGAAAATAAAACTTAATGTGCACCGTGGTCACGAGTGGCCCATGAAAGAGTGAGTGTCGTGTGGACCTAAACGTTTGCTCACAGCTTGCAGAAAAAGGAAGGTTTAAATCCTCAATCTCCGACGGATTTTGAAAGATAAAAGCGTCTAAGGTAATATTTCTCAGGTGTTAAAAAGGCCACACTATTATCATTTCATTGGTTAGTTTTTGACATGACCTTATGGGATAATCCACTATCAAGAGAAGGTGACCTTCCATTTTGGAATCAATTACAAAAAAAATCATAGACTTGAGTATCTTATAGAGGGCAGAACATGTTGACTTTAAAACCTCCTAACTAGGCTTATATTTCTTGTCACCAATCCATCATAGTCAAAAAGAAGTCAGGTCATTTAGACGTGAGGACGAAGCAGGGGTCAGATCGAGTCGAGTAGATACAAGTCTGAGTTTGAAGGAGCCATGAACAGGCTTGACAGTGTCCCAAGCCTCATGCCTCCCCTCCCCCGCCCCCCGGTGCAGACGCAGACCCACTGGTGACCGGGGCTCCTGGTGCGCCTATGGACTTGCGGTGCTATGACGCAAACCGCGATTATGTCATCGTGACTTGGAAGCCGCCCAACACCACCATGGAGAGCCCTGTCCTTGGCTATTTCATTGATCGGTGAGTGCCCATTGTCTTCTTCCGGGGATGGGAACGTTCCTGAAATTATTGTTGGCATGGACGGTGTCTTTGGATATACTTCTAAACTCAAGTTCATGACAGCGTTCTTGATCAGGTATGTCACTGTATGGTTGTTCAAGGCTCCTGACCGGATAGTTGGAAGATATCACCAAATGGCGGGGCGAGGGCGGGTAGACTTCTGCATGTGGTGCTTGGAGCTCTGCCTGCCTGTCCGACATCCAGTCCCGAATGCCCTCCAGCTTCTCCCGGCACGCGGAACCCTGGTTGTGGGTTCTAGGGAGAACTTCAGTCCTGCGCCTCCTTCCGGAGCAGAAGACAGGCCGCGTGAAGCATAGCTGGGAAGAGCGCCCGCCCATTTGTACCCAAATTCCAGTCT